TATATTTATTTAATATTATATATCATGTAATTATAAATTTATCATTTTAAGTGATACTATTTTTTAATTAAACTTTCAAAATTTAAAAGGTATATTAAACCTCAACTAATTTAAAATTTAAATGTCTATTACTCTATTTATTATATTTAAATTTAAGATTTTATTTAAATAATATTTTTACCCAAATATATCACTTTATTTTATTTAATTCAAAAAATTAAATGAACAAATAAGTCAAAAAAATCCACTTAAATGTTAAATCCATTGCTATATAAGCATGGCATGGCAATATCTTGCCATCCAAGCAGCCAAGCATAAACGGCAGTTAAGCCATGCGAGCGAGTCCAAACGGCAGTTAAAGTTGGCGTAAGAAGATGGGCTTAATTGCTTTGATAGCAGAGTTTAAGGGCTTATATGCATCACTTAAAATCTAGGGGTATAATAGCTATTCTGGAGTTAGTTCGGGTACTTAACCTATGGTTTTGCCTTCTTTATATCTCGTCTCAACCCATTCATCTCTCCTGTTACCGATGTGGGATTGAAATGAGGTTTAGTCCTAAAGTTATCACCTGAGGGAAATATATATTTTATATATCAAAGACGAAACTTTCTAGATATTTTTCACAATGTTGCAAAATTTGTTTGTAACAAGTACCAGACTACTAGTAAAGGCAAGAATTGCTGCTGCTGGTACACTTCTACTAGTAGTCTGATACTCGTTACAAACAAATTTTGCAACATTGTGAAAGATATCTAGAAAGTTCATCTTTGATCTATAAAATTTATATTTCTCTCAGGTGGTAACTTTAGGACTAAACCTCATTTCAATCCCACATCGGAAACAGGACAGATGAATGGGTTCAGACGAGATATATAAATAAAAGGGTGTACCGAAGCACTCGATTTTACTCGCCCTGTCAGGTGGAGGGATGACCCATCGATGATCTAAATGTGATGTCGGGTCGAGCCTCATGCCTACGTTGTGTCACAATCCGGGTAGGGATGACCCATCAATGATCTAAATGGGATGGTGGGTCGTGCCCTCAATTTTTGGAAAGCCTGGCCATAGAGGTGAGGCTATCAACCCCAGTTGAATTATTTCTTGTAAGGGACTTGTATTGGATTCAGGTCCGCCAATATGGCATTCGATTTTGCTCTCGCTATGCTACGGGGTCAACTGACATTCTTTAAGGGCGTTAGTCCTTCAAGTAGTTAAGTTGTCCCGTCAGGGGTGTGGATGAACAATTAAGCACGGCGAGCTGAGCTGGTGCTAGGTGTTGGCTCGTTAATTTTTGGAAGCCTAGCCACTGAGGAAAGGCTACCAACCAGTAACAAAAGCCGTATCATCTTTGGAAAGGGATAACCGTGGTTTTGCTCACATTATACCGAAGGAATAACACATTTCATATTCGATAGGGTTAGAATAAAATGGGAACAACTGAGATTCTTTAATATTGTTCACAAAAGCTTCACGTAGCATATCCTAACTAGCCAATAAAAGGGAAATGAGAAGAGAATGCCGAATGCCGTAGAGTGAAATGGGTCAACCACCATATCTGACCATTTGTTTATGTCAACCACTATAGCGGGTCTTGAGGGATTCTGGTGGCTCCTCTTCCGTGATGCCTGAACCTGTTGTAGCTAAATATGTACGGATGATTGTCTTACGATCTCCAAGGTATGTGTGATCTAGAAAGTTGTTTTATGCAACGTCACCAGGGTTCTTAGCTGCCAACACACTACAGGAGATCCAAAACAGCATGCCTTAGGCACAGAGAAAGCAATATGATCTACATACAATTAATTCACTAGCTATGAAGGCAAATTGAGTTAACAGTCTTGTTGGATGGTTTACTATGCATCTCTGTGTGCAAAATAAGAATGTAGAAATACAGTAACTGCAGGATATGATGATTTTTCAAGAATTTTACCCTGGCAGAAACATAAAGAGTTAAAAATTGACATGAGGAACTCATTTTGTATTAAATGAACATACCAGTGCCTAAGATAGACACAGCATGGTAAGACACCATCTCGCCAAATCTTATCAATGTTGTATCATCCATAGTGCTGAAAATATATTTTCCTTGCTTCCTGTCAAGAGGAAAAAAAATTGGAAAACCAACAGATTAAATTTTGGAGTTCAATGATGAGGCCCAGAAATTCAAATGCTATTCCCTACTTAACCTTTGTGTAGAAGGAATAGCAAGGAAATTTGGTATGGGAATCTGACAAGAACAAATCTTTCAATATATCAAATTGTTCTGTTTCTTTGTGAAGATCTATCCATGTCTAGGGTGAAGTCTAGACTCTCATTCTTTTGTCTATTAAGCAGCTTGGTATGTGCTAGGAGATATGATGATACATGTGCTATGTATGAACACGAGATGACAAGGAAAATCGTTTTCAGGTCTCATAACATTGCACTTTGGCTCAATATGTGTTTAAAAGCTGTAATGGGGCACAGTTCTTCATTGGCTCAACAAACCTTAATCTGGTAGTATCTTATGAAGCATACCTTCTTCTAGGAAATATATAAAGCAACATTGAGAACTAACATTATCCTTTCCCTTGTAATCTTGGGTATTGACAATGACCAATAGGAATCTTATTAAAAGTTACCTTTCCATCTGATTTGGAAAAATTCTTCATCACTATACCGAGCACAGAGACCTGCAATGAAAATCCCAATATGGTATAAATCTTTAGAAGTTAGAACCCTAACTATTACCATAACAGAACAAAAAAGAGATCAAAGTAAAACCCTTTAATAATAATGATAAAAGTACATACTGCAGGATGGCCAAAGGGTTCTCCATGAAGCGTTTCAGGCAGGACCTGTAAAAGAATAAGTCAGTCCATGACAACAATAAAACAATCAAATGGATAGTCCGGTAACGTTGATAGCAACTCACAGCTAGAAAGTGGAACTCGAGTTCTCTCTCCATGAAAGCTGATATCTGACTTCATGGAGTAATAGATTCAAGTTAAAACTTCAAATGAGTAAATCACATCTCTGGGTCTTTTTCTCATTCAGAAAAGAATCAAATTCCAAAGTGAAGCAACAGCAACCAAAGGAATAATCAATTATCAATACCTCTGATTTTTGAATCTCAAAGACAGTGACAATGAGGGTTTCTCCCTCACAAGGCTCCACACTCAAGCTTGAAATCTCCTGAAAATCATCGTCACCAACATCAAAATGAATTGCTAAAAAGCCAACTTCTTTGCCTTTGGGACCAATTTTTTTGGTGTCTTTACTAGATAATGCTTCTTTGCCTAAATTTTCTAGGAATTTGGAAACCAAACAGATCATAAGCAAAATATTAGAATTGCGTATGCACACCCTGGTTTCAGGATTAGCGATTTCATGCTCGAAGAAAATCGGAGCTACATGTGCAAATACACGCCGGAATCCATTCAATCTCGCAACTCTGAAATTTATCAGATCCGGAAAAGTACTTTTAATGCTCCTCTGTGGTCTCAAAATTACAAAAGACGATCAACTTCATGATCATAGATAATTATAGACTATCAATATTTGCACTCACCAGAGAGGATAGAACCGAAGCCGCAGATAGAGATGCCTCCGTTGGGAGAGAGAATCTTCTCGAAATCGGCCAAGTCATCGAGTTGATTCAGATAAGAATTAGTCGACGAAGAAATAGGTTCCGAAGACATGATCGAAGGAAGTGGCCGGCGGTTGCTTGAAGCTCACATTGAAGTAAGGTTTAGAATTGAGAAAGGTACAGCGCGGGGATTCTTGGCTCCGACGCGCACGAGTGCAGACGGGAAATGAGGTATTGGCCGCAAATGGAGGGGACGCAGTAGAGAATTGGACATGTGAGGATGGCGGAGCGGAGAATACGCCGCCGACGGAGGATGGAGACCGTGACGCAGTGATCCACGAGTGGTGTTGTTTGGCAATTGATAAAATGGAAGGGGTGCTTTTGTCAATTGATTGGAAGAGTTTGTTATCACCTGCTGCGCACGTGATTTTTATTTTACCGGAAAATTAGGCAAAAACGCAATTGTGCCCTTCAACTTTTCGGGTGTAAGGCATTTTGCCCTCACTTTATAATTTATAAGTTTTTACCCTTTAGTTTTTCAAGTTTATGATATTAAGGTAAAATTTAACATTGAACAGTCACGTGCAGCATGTGACGTTAAGCTTCCATTACTCTATCACACATAAACACAACCTAGACATGTAAAATTTACATGTTTGCATTGCCATTTTAGATAATTTAATAATAATAATAATAAAAGTTTAACTTTTAGCTTACAATGTGGATTCCTTTGACTTTATATTTTAAACTCATTGTTTGGAAAAAAAAAAAAAAAAACTCTAACTATACATGGATCATAAAAATACTAAATGAAAAAAAATTTAACATGTGTTTTTAAGTACAGGTTAAAGATATATTAATTATATTTTTTATAATAAATTTTTATTAGAATATATAAAAATAAACATTATTTTTAATATTAGTGTACATGAATAATATAATTAAGTAATTAATAAATTTAAAGTTAATTTTTAT